CATGGCGTGCAGAATCTGAAATGAAGTTCGCATTGACGTTATCTTCAAAATGAAGTGTGATAAAGTAAAGTGCCTTCTTGAGTAGCAGTACTTAGTTATTTTTCGACAATCACTCCTGGAGAGATACCAAATGCAATTTAATGCGTGCCCGATTGAAAAATACTGAATCGGTGAAGTAAGACGAAATTGTAATTGTAATAAGATTCGCGTGATTGAGGTAAGTGCCGGTGAAGTTACTAGATCACAGGGCAGCCAAGCCCGTGGTTACAAAACATTTACATGTGGGAGTCTCTCTTGTGATTCAACACCCACCGATCTTCGTTTGAGAAATTTTAGGTTGTCAATTTTCTTATAAATTTTAATTTAAAACCTTTTATGTTCTAATGTGTATTATTTTACAGGCATAAATTGTTGGGCCGTTAATACTATAACGGTTTTGCCACCTTCTCTTTATATGGAGTAACAGTGAAAGCTTAATTTTGTTATTTCTACCGTTTGACTGACAATGCTTTAATTTACATTTGGACATTATGTGCAAACGGAAAAGTGTAAATACATGTATTTATTAAAGGAAATGTCTGTGACACAGAAACATAGATTGTTAATGTATATTACGACCGCGTGGGTTTGAATATGATATTAATTTATGTCGTAGGTAGCAGTTTTGTTATTGCTTCATATTAAATTTATTTTGTCTGTCTATTTATATTAAGTCTATTCCATCTAATACTGAAGTATTGCACGCTTCACATCAATTCCACGTAATGGCTCAAGTTTGGGTTTGACTTGACATGTCAGCTTTCAATGTCGATCGATACCGATTTTATAACACAATCTCACAAACCCAAAAATATGACTATGTTTTTGTCTCTCGCCTACTTAAAATAGAATTTTTTGTTATAAGTATCAATTAGCATACTTAATAATAATTAACTGTTTATGTTTTAAAATCCACCTATATACAGTAAATTACGGTGTGCAACCCAGGTTACGACAAAAAATTCATGTTTAATGGCTTGACGTTTTAGAATTAAAATTAATAGCCCAAAAGTTTGATTCATATTCCAAAAGCGCGTCCATCTCACGTTTATTAATATCCATTTCCTAATTAGTAGAAGTTCATTTATAATATATTTAAAAGGGTTGATACCGAAGTTTGAAAACACTTTTATCTTTTTATCGAGATTTCAAACAGAATATGGAAATTCCTTGCTGAAATTTTGTTGCCTAGCTTCATAATCAGAATTTTCACAATTCTAGAGATTTGCGACAGTAGTTTTTCTTAAACTCTTAAACCGAAATGGATGCTAAAACGGTAAAACATTGAATAATTTTTTTTAATTTAATTTATTCGCAGAATCTTTAGAAATTTAAATACTTGTATGTATTTGGATAGATTACGCAACTGCAATGATAGCGTGCTTCTGCAATAAACCTTTTTACTCTCTTTGTAAGGAGTTATACATTTTCTTTTATGATTAAACAAATTGTTATTGTGGTCCTAAAAAGACAAAAGCCTCTTTCCAGGCTAAACTTAAAATATATCTCTGCTGGCCAGATAATTGAATTTCTTTTAGTAAACAATGGAACGAGTAATTCTAGCAAATTTAAATGATTAAATAAAGCGTTAGTTACGATACACTGTGTCCATTTTTCAAGTACCACTATGGGGATCTCGCTTATCTTAAGAGATAGAAAGTTGGTTAAATTAGGGCAAAGTTGCGAATTTTCGTGCTGAATAATAATCTAAAAATAAATTCATAATATCTTCAATACTTTTGAAAATATGGCAAAAAATCGAAAATTGCTGATTTTCATTTTTAACTTTTTCTAAGTAAACTAATTTGTACTAGACATTTCTAATTTACACATTATTCAGACACTTTTTAATGGATATTTCGAATATGGCATCCCGTTTTTAATAACTTTCAAGATAACGGAGAAACACGTGGCAACTTTAGTTTTTTTTATGGGCGCCCTTTTGGATTTTGACATTTTGAGATTAGGTCTTTTTTTCTCTTTACAACAATATATCACACACGGTGGTTCAGTATCACATTTTTTCTAAAAATACAATTTTCATTTTCTGCGAAGAGTGCTATGCAAAAACAAAACGTTCTTTTGTTATGAACAAAATGTTGACTTATTTCAAGCAGTGTCATTTACGATTGTGCTAGTTTTATTGCTAAAATATTATTTATTCTTATGTATTTTGTTCTAATTTGAATTATAATTTTCTTGCAAAACGAAGGTTCAATTCTGTTCATATGAAAATCGAATTTTCTCAACACATCTAGTTCCCTGATGCCAACCGGACATATGCATCAAACTGTCAAACTTTTGTTCACAATAAAAGAACGTTTTGTTTTTCCAAAGCACTCTTCCCAAAAAATTAAAAATTGTATTTTAGGAAAAATGTGATACTGAACCACCATGTGTGATATATCCTCGTAAAGAGAAAAAAAGACGTAATCTTAATATCTCAAAATTAAAAATGGCACCCATAAGAAAAACTAAAGTTGCCACGTGGTTCTCTGTCATCTGAAAAGTTATAAAACGAGATGTCACATTCGAAATCTCCATTGAAAAGTGTTTGAATAATGTGTTAATTAGAAATGTCTAGTACGAGTAGTTTATCATGAAAAAATTAAAAACGAAAATCAGAAAGTTTCGTTTTTTTGCGATATTTTCAGATGGTTATTCAGCACGGAAATTCGAAACTTTGCCCCCATTTAACCGACTTTCTATCTCGTAAGGTAAGCGAGATCCCCATAGTGGCACTCGAAAAATGGACACCGTGTAGGTATACGAAACTATACGTGATTCGGTATATTCACTGATAATTCGCATAAAACGGAAATAGTAAATATAAAACTGAACCTTATTGCCTTGGAATGTCGCCAGATGGTCTACTAGGTCAGGTTTCAACTGCTTGGAAGTTAACGATTCGTGCAGATGTGTTTCGGGGCTCGAAATTTCGCGGCTCTCGGCCTTTCAAAAACCTCGATCTTAGCCCCAATAATTGCCATTTTTTCGTAAACAAGCGCAAGCGTTAATTAAAACAACTAGCCAGGTTAAAAGAACAGCAGTCTTTAAAATAATGCGTCGTTCATTTCGATGCGTATTAATAAATGGAAAGTTTCGATTTATGGTGAAACTCGGTTGCTAGCATCGTTGCACTCAAATAGAAGTTAGTGCTAACTTCTTCGCAATACGTGTTTTGTGCAATTCCGTAGCAATATATGATTCTATTTATCACATTTTATTTTTGGTTTATCATCGAGTTAATTTGGGACTTATTTTTTCACAACATTGTGTTTTAAATTGACCGTAAAATAATGGACCAGTCGCTTACAACAATCCTACCCGGCTACATAATACACGCGATCTTCCCGCATAAGCAACTTAATACAAATCGTCCTTTGATCTCATATAATTACCGAATAAAAAGAGAACATTGATACAATACGAATATTTTTATATACAGTGTGCCCCCGATTGTTTGTCGTTTTTTGTAAAAGACATAACATTTTTGAATTGAATTTTGAGCGTCTGGGGATCAGCCCTGCTTGTTGGAAACTGATTTGTGACTTAATTTTAGTTTCTAAAAATCAATGATGCCTTTGAAGTTTTCAAAAAACTTTTTTTTAGGTAGGTCACTATTGGTTTGTCTGGTTTCTATGCAAAAATTGTTTACGTTAAGTACCTTTATTTGTATCTTTTTTTATTTTTAAACAGAACAGTACTACTATAGTAGACCAATTCATTTAAAAGTTATCTTGCAACACACAATTGTTGCTGAGAAAAGTTGTTCAGAATGAAAAACTGAGTAAACGTGTGTGTAGCATTTCAAAGTCTTAATTTTGATTTATTAAAGTTTATTTTTAACTGGGTTTTTTGAGGAAATCCGAAAAAATGTCACTTAAATTATTAAAGTCCTCGTGTGAGATCGAAGGTAACTTTTGGTAATTTTCATATGTGGCAAGGTAACATAAAAATCTCATCGTAGAACATTAATAGTACCAATTTCGGTGAAACAACAACAAAATGTCAGTGGTTCGTAATTCTTACTACATTGATTCACGTATGCCAACAATTATTGTAGTGTGATTTGAAAGAAGTCGCACAAGAATGCCAACAACGTGTGAAATTTTCAACAAAAAAACACGTAATCATCTTATTTATTATTGCCACTTTTGCAACTAAGGGTTGATGCAGAAAAATCAAAATTCTGAGTCTTTTTTAACAGTTTGCTGAAAGTTTCTCAAGTATTCTGGCGCCGCTACATCATTGTGAAAATGTTGGTACTGTTAACATCGAACATGAACTCTCCTACAAATTACACATTCGCAAACCCGTCAAAAGCAAATTTATGCGAAACCACGTTTATTGTTGTTCCACCTAATCTTGGCCGTTGTTTCACGTCATCTTTAAAATATATGTCAGTTCGAGATAATAAATTAGAATTGTAAAGGCAAGGTACCTTGTACGTGACAGTTTCATATCTAGAATCCATAACTATTCCAAATACTAGGATTCGCTTGGAAACGTCAACAATCTGAAATTTATCTTTCATTTTGTAAATTGAAAGCATGTATTTGAATAATGAGTCACCTTGTTTAATATTTATAAAGTTGGCATAGAGAACCCCTTCCCACTATGAGTAATTATTGCTTTAGGGTGCAAATGAAAAACCTTGAGTGTACTCTTCCATTCATTCCAATTTAAAAACGACGTTACGTATGTAATTTGCATTGGGATAATGCATAGATCAATTTATCTCGTATGTCCGTGTGGGTGTTGATGCAGTTGCCTGCCAGCATCGCACTTTGCACGTGTTACTGGAGTTTTCGCGAATTAAAATTAAATTTATGGCATGGTAGTTGCTGTATAATTTCAAGTTGAGCAGTCGTAAAAATAATTGGGTATTATAAATTTCATTTTTTAAGAAACTACCAGTATTATCCAGATGCGTGGCTTAACAGTTCCTGTTGTTCCAGGGCGTCCAACGGCTCGCGCTTTTCCAGCGACATAAATCAGCTGGACTCGGATAAGCACCGACTAGCGCCCTCCGTGAGGCAAGTTCATCCGCTATGCGACGAAAAGGCGCAGCTTTTGGCCTACGAAAAACCTTCAAGTTTGGAAACCAACCACAACAATCGTCCCAGTATCGATCTGAACGCTAGTCCACCCCCTTACCCAAAAAGAGCTAGTTTGGATTCCAACCCCAGTCCCACTTCCTATCCGATAACGCCGAATATATGCGTCGAGGCCGGACGAATTGAATTTATCAAACAGACCGTAGATGGAGCTTTGGAGAGCGTCGCGACGACCAAAATCGATGAAAGGATAACGATTACCAGGGGTCTTCAAACGGACGAGGACGAGAAATTGGACGACACGAAGGTAGGTGGCGCGCACGTTAATTATTTACAAACATCGCCCGCAATCATTAATGGGGTGTCACGAAAAGGGAAACCTATTTCACGCCTGTTGTAACTTGCGAAAGTGATTCAAGGTAAATTTAGTGCGGGTCAGTTGCAGAACCCATTTCTTATTGAATTCAGGTGCAGATTGTTAAATTTATAGGTCTAGGCTCGAAGCGTATAATGGATATTGTAGGTTGTAAGGATTGCGTGATCCTTTAACGCAGAAAATGCGATTTATGTACAAGATCGCGGTTAAGTGAGCGCAAAAGACATTTTTTACATCTGTTCCTTTCAGGCTTCTTGATCGTGTATTTAGCTACTTTGTTATCCTGTGTGTATATTTTCTTTTGCGTGCACCTTTATAGCGTTTTTGTCCTTATCAAGTCATTTTTGGATTTATTGCGTAATTTGATACGCAGTAAAATGTTTTTTAAAACTGCTGCGAACGGGGTGTAAGTGGATATAAATTTGGGGAAATTTGTGGTACCCTTTAAAAATAATCAAACCTTTTTATAGCCGTTTGCTGTACTTTAGAACGATCGTATTTTTTCTTTATATCAGTTTTAAGTGCTTTAATCTTCGTTAGGGACACTATTATCGGTGTCAAAATTTGAAATATACCCCTTGGGAACAACTTTCACACTCGTTTTTCTTAGTGCGCAGTGAATTTTCTTTGCACCTTGCATACAAAAAATTCCTTTAATCTCAATTTGCTACCCAAATCGTTAATAAATCGAAAATATTTTATTTATAGTTGCCGAAAGGAATTGAGTATTAATTTTAATACCGTCCAAATAAGCCGAAAGATTTATTGAAATTATTACGATACACCACATGAATTCAAGTTATTCACAGGCTATAACCATCCACTTATATTACCGATAAATTTATGTGGGAATTTATTAAATTAAATTTAGTAAAATATCCCCTGTAGAATACATAGAAAATTCCACAGATTCTTGATTCTGCATTCATTTAGTTGATTGTCATAAATTAAATTATCGTTGCTATCCGTATATTGGTAGGTATTCATTCATAGATGCCTTTACTTTTCGAATTTTAACTATATGTTTTGGTATGTCACGTTTTCGAGGCAATCAGTTGATGAAATATCTACTGTATTGGATCGTTAAATAGTTTCAATGGAATGACATAGTAAAAGCGTTTCCCAACAGAGTTTCAGAAGTGTATGCGTTACGTAGGTACAATATTAAAATACAGAGGAGAGAGCTGATAGAAACTTGGCTCTCATATACCACCCCTTCCCACTCAGATACAATTTTAATTACATAGATTACCAATTATTTACTGAATGTTCTGACAATTTTGACTAAGACTAGGTAATAATTTATTGAATGTCACTGAATTATGAAATTATGAAAGAAGAAGCGCGTAATTTGGTACCATTAAAGAATTTTTTTAGGCGGTTTGTGTCTTTGAAAGAAATGTTTGGTATGGTCTTCTCTAAGATTCGTTATTTTTATATTCAAAGGACAGAAACGAAATTTTTTCTAGATCGGATGTGACGCAATCTTCCTGGGAAAAATGAAGTTATTCTAGAACATTCCGATTAGTTTTAAGAACGTTCCAGAACAATTGTCGTTTACTATACAGGCTGATTCAAATTCGAGGGACTACTTTCGGGGATATCCGGAAAAAACCGAAAATTAGCAAGATTGTTTTTAGTTTTTACTGAAGTTAGATAAAAAGATATTTCGAAATAAATGATACATTATTATGGCCACTTTTGTGTTAAATTATAAGTTTGACGATTCGTCTCCGGTCAACTATCATCAACTTTGTTTGTTCTTATGGAAGTAATTTTTACTTTTTGTTCAAAAGTTCAAAAATACGGAATGAAAATATCAAGCGCTTAAAAAATATCCCCCTAAATCGTGCTGTTACCTTAGGTATATAGAATTCCTAAAAATCTGGAAATGGAACTCGGATTTTCCAGACGGAGCCGGCGGTGTACCCTAGTAGTCCATAGTTCAAAAATTAAATCTTTTTTGATTATTTCTCACCAAGTTTGGTGCAACACAATTAAACCACGGCCAATTATACTCACTTTCCAATTTCCAAATTCGGTAGCCCAGTAATGCCCATTGTAACATGAAATTTCGGGTCAATCGCAAAAGGTCTGCGATAATGAAATAATTCGGACGACATTTGCAGTTTTAAGGTTCGTTTTCGCTTAACATTGGGTAACTAAAAGAAGGGAACTGAAATCATACAATATCAATTTACTCTGGTCTTCCAAACGAGAACTTTCGGACGCTGCAAGGATAATTAAAATATCTACGGGAACAATTGAAAAACTGAATTAGGTACGGCATCTCGGTTTCCCTATGGGCGGCTAAAACGGCTCTACAAATTAAAACAATTGCTTTTACCTTCTATATGCAACTCCTTTTCTCGTAAAGCGCTCGTTTGAGTTCGTCGAAGTACCGGGTGTTCAATAAGGCTAGTAGATTCCATCAATGTACGATGTGTTCGTTAATTTTGAACCGAACTCATGTACAAAAACGAGTGTTTCATTAGACTACAAAGACACTGATATTTCCAAATAAGGAAGGATGATACATTTTTACTTTCATTTTGCCTGTCGAAATCAAACGTTTGTTCTTTACCTTTAAAGATTTCGTTTCTAATAGGGCAGACAACATTCTAAACCGAAATACGGTCCTAAATTACTGGGCAGAACCAAGGGCTAATTTTACCAAATTGGCAGTCGCATATAAAAGTTCTTTGCAGGAATTATTTTATGATTAACCCCTCTCATTTGAAGTACAAAAATTCACAAATTGCATAAAAGTTTAAGTTTAGGTGTTATTTTGAAATTTCTAAAAAAACGGAATTATTAAAAAATTACCGATGTACTAAAAAAACTTACTGAAATTCAAATGTCAACCCTTCGGTATTTTGTGAAGATTTGCAATAACGAATACCTTCCAGATCGCGAGCAAGAGAAGGCGGGAAGAGCAAATTTAAGGGAAATAAGTTAAAAAAGCTGTCGTATTCCCATTTGTAAGATGCAATTTCTGTTAAAATCGTAAAAATCCGGCCACAAATAAGTTTGTAAGAAGTATCCTACGCTAAAATTTTAGAAGAATTACTTTACAAATAACGAATGTGGGTTTTGCAAAAGAATTTTTTTTGATTTGGCATTATTCGAGGTACATACAACATTTCATTTAAATATCTTAACACATAAAAAAATTGGATTATGCATGCGCAAAAATTTTTTTTTGATCCGGCATTAGTTTTACCTTTATTGGATGCGCCTACATACAAAATTTCATTTAAATATCTTCACAAATAAAAAAAAGTTGATTACGGTTGTAAGGTACGTAGAATTAGAATTTTGCGTGACCTCTATAGGGAAAATAAAGAACTAAGTAATGACAACTCTACCACAGAACTAATTTACTAAACGGAAGTACGGAGGAAATTCATAATTGGCGTAAGAATATCGAGTAGTAATTTGGGATTTTTAATTGTTTCAAATTTCCGTCTTGATTTAAAGTTATGTAATTTTTTTGGAAATTTACTTTTACATGCATAGCAATCCCTGGTTACAGGGGTTGTAAGCATGTCATTTTCTATTTTACGTTTATTGCGTTATCTTCCCACTAAGCCACCATCTTGTTTCACGTACACATCTTTTTACCCCTCCAATCTTGCGGTGTTTCGAAAATTAGAATGTTTCACAAAAGCGGCAGTACCTAATGATAAATAAATTCGGGGTTCAGATTCATTGTCAACGTAATGAAATTTGGTTGGCAAACACAAAAAACGGTCACTTGATCGATTAGAAACACAAATTTGATATCTAAAGAGATACTTTTGTATTTTATTTTTATGTATGTATTTAAAATACCTAGGGGCGTTAGTGCCTAGGGAGTCGGAGTTTAAATTTATCTCAGATACACCCCAAGTAACCCAAAATCGCAAAGAATAACTCTTAATTAGCCTGAAAACCAGAAAACAAGTCACTTTTTTAGATTAATCCAAAATAATTTTTAGCGCATTTTTGCAAAAAATTTTTTTTGTAAAAAGTAGCTTTTAATCTCACTTTGGCTGGCTGGCTGGCTGGCTGGCTGGTGGCTGGCTGGCTGGCTGGCTGGCTGGCTGGCAGTAAATGCGCGCCCGTAGAAAAACGCTTGTAAAAAGACAAGGAGTGTACATGTAACTATCGGGGCCGTGTAATTAAGAACGTTAGGGATGGGGCTACAAGATTTGGAGTCGACGACATCTGGACGCCATCCCCGAGCGTATTATACTAACCTGGAGATTTTTCAGTTTTTATCTATCTTCTTCTACAGTTTTTCTCCGATTGTTTTCAAATTGGTGTCGTCGGGAAGATCTTGTCAACGCGCACAACTCCTGCGTCGCGGAATTTTGTTTTTTTTCCTAGGGGCGACATAAACCACCTTTTGCGCGGCGCGCTTCGAGGGGTAGACGACTTTGGGCGCCCAAAAGTTTCTTACAGCGCGAATCGCGGTCTCTCTTTCTCGTGTCACTAATAGAAGGTCGAGCTATGTGAAGTACCCAAAAGTTGAATACGATTTTATGCCGGGATTTTAGCGAAATCTACCAAAATGTGAATTACGAATGAACGGGACGTCGGAACTGTGTATCGACAAAGGGAATGTGGTAACCCCCGACGAGATCTTACTGATGATGGTGGAGTCGAAACTTCAAATCCGAATTGTTGCGGGTGATCAGAAGTGGGTGTCGACAAAGGGAATTTATGGTAACCCCCAAAGGATTTTACTGATGGTGGAGTCAAAACTTCAAACGCGAATTGCGAGTGCACGGTAAGTGAGAAAATGGTACCGACAAAGTGAACGTGGTAGCTTTCGGCAAGATCTTATTGATGGTGGAGTCAATATTGGCTAATAAAACACTGATCTGCCACACAAAAATGCGCTGAAGTCCCTTCGATCTCACACGAGGACTTTGATCATTTTTTTA